TTCTTTAAAAATGTAAAAAGAAAGAAAGTTAGAATCTTTGTTGTGATAGATGCTTAATTCAGGTAAAGGAATAGAAGATGCCTCCTTTATTCAGTTATATATTACATTATCTTTTGCTGTAAGTGTCGAAGAAGCATTCCTTAAACTGGACTTCCATGGCACTAACAAATCAGGTGCTGAAGGAACAAAGTCAGAAATATTGTCATGTAGTCTGTACTACAAACACTGAGAGAGAAACATTTCCATGCTTATACCTCAGTAAGAGTAGCTGAAAATTCAGGTCTAGTACGTATTAGAACCTAGTAGGTGCTTTACTTTATATTATGTTAACTGCCTAGTATCTGTTCTCCTTTAAACTACTTTTTAAGAAACATTATGAGTGCTAAAAGAGCCAGAAACATGCATTCTGTACCAGAATTTGAGGAACCGTCCTGCTTCAGAACCTTTGGGCTACTGGATTTCCTCTGTAATAGTTTATCCTCCTCAAATTTTGCTTCCTCAGAAGAGCTTTTTGGACTCTCAGACGATGCCCACTTACACAAACTGAAATGCAATTTCTCCAATTCAGGCCCAGCTACATATCAAAAACATTACAATACAATTACTAATTTCAATGCGGTTATGTAAACTAGCAGAAGAGAAGTTCCACTACAGAATGAACATGATACAGATAATTTTGTGTGCCGTCAAGTAAAATGCACAAATGCTGCAAAAAAGGTATGGATTTACCATCCAAATTGTTTAACTGCAACGTAGTGGCAGCAGAATGATACTTGAGGTCAAACAAAGCACTATTGATACGTGAAGCACCCATGGAATGCCTAGCACTCGCCAACTCAAACCATCCCTGCCATGTAAGCAAATGCAAAGTAAATACTATAGCAACTTTATTGGATCGACAGCTGTTATTGCACAAATTTGAATATTCTTCCACTTGCAATCAGCTTAATCAAACTTAAATATTCATTATGAGTAACATATTATATGTACACACACAAAGCATAGCTGCAAATCGATTTACACCAAATTCTGGATCCGTACTAAATTAGGGATAGAGAGGATTATAGCGGAATATATACATATCTAATCGAGCACTCGGATTTTCTCGTTTGGAGAAAAAAAAAATCAAATCACAATAGAGGGGTAAACTATAAGGAAAGGAAGAAATTGTAACCTGGCGAAGTGATGAAGAGAGAGAATTCATCAGAACTAGATAGCTGTCAGTTGAATCCATAAACTCCAAAACATTCTTATCTTTTTCGTGGACGGAGCTCTGCATTTCTGCAACTTCCACCTTCGCCATATTGAAATCGCAAATCTGTTAAGCTAGGTGTCCTTAATTTAATTCTAGTTTCATCTCAACGATGAGTTTTTGGCAAATATTGTACCTTATCTTTGAGACTAGTTTTATTTTGGTCCCTCAAATATATTCCTGAGTATATTTAGTCTTTTAAGTATGCTAAAGTGAGCAACTTTAGTCTTACTGACGCAATATTCAAAAACTAACAGTGTTACCGAACTCTAATTCATGAAGCAAATATTCTGCTCTGAAGCAAAACGTTTCCCCTCATTTTATTGGATAACACAAATTATCACTTTAATTCCTCATTTTTAGATAATGTCTTCTAAAATTTTAACCTTGAAATATCCCTTTCGATGCTAGTTTTCAATGAGAAAATGACGTTGTATAGTCGCTGTAAAAATAATAGCCGAAAAAATATATAAAATTTGCATATTCTTTTTTGTAATATATATACATTTTGTATGTTAATATACAAAAATTATACAAATTTTATATACTTTTTCGGCTACTAGATATAAATAGTTTCTGGTACGGATTAAAATGATAATACAACCTGGTTATTCATTTGCTTCAATAATATGCCTAGAATCATGGCAACTCTATTTTTTTTCAAATTTTAATTTTTCTTTTTGGAAAAATTTAAATGTATATATATATACAAAAAATATACAAATTTTATATCTTTTTTCGGTTATTATTTTACAGGCGCTATACAATGTCATTTTCTCATTGAAAACTGGCACAAAAGGAATTTTTTTTTAAGGTCAAAATTTTAGAAGACATTATATAAAAATGAGGAATTCAAGTGATAATTTGCATTCAATAAAAGGAGAGGAAACGCTTTGCTTCAGAGCAGAAGATTTGCTTCATCAATCAGAGTTAGATAATACCGTTAATTTTTTAACATATTGTGTCAGTGAGACTAAAGGTGCTTCACTTTAGCATGCTTAAGGGACTAAACATGCTCAGAGTTATATTTGAAGGACCAGAATAGACCTACCCTTAAAGATAAGGGACAATATTGGTCAAAACTCTGTCAATGTTAATACACCTCGATCCGACCCTACTGCTCAACTCGTGACAGTTGTATAAATTGACCAGCTTACCCTTTCCTAAAAAATCTTGTAAAGACAGAGATTTTTGGAACCACAAGGCAGAATGGCCTCATGGCCACTTAAAATTGTCGAGTTTTTAAAAGCTGATGCATAAACTTTCTACTTTCTCATTTGAACACTCAAACTCATTTTTCCATAACTAATAAACATATTTGACAAGAGACCATGTGCGCATGTATTACATATACACATACGTCTCCATCCAGTCAACAAATGACTAATGGATGTCTTGCACGTCAAGGGCACGAAAATCCTAACCCCACAGATTGGGGTCTCCTCTTTCATTCCATAGATCGGCCCCTCCCCTCATTTTAACCTCTCTCTGACCAAACCCTCCCCTGTTCATTCGCGATTCTCTATGTTCCTCTGTTCACGCAAACTCTACAAATTATCCGACCTAAACTATAGCTCCAAATGCTATAGACTAGTGTAATTCACAAAAAAGAAAAGAAGAAAAAAGATCCTATAAATCTATTCAAATTATAGCTTTTGTCAACATTTTCGGTGACATTTCAAATCAATCGGCTTCAAAGTACCCATTTCAGAATCAATTTCTAGGGTTTTGAAATTGTTTATTTCATGTTACAAGAATTACCAAAAATATGATACTTTCATGTACTGGCCGCTCGCTCTCTAAGTCTTCTCGCTCCAACACTCCAAAAGGACTTGTTTACGGTGGTAGATACGGGGTGAGATTAGCCGTGCTGGATGAACTTCCAAAATCGATCATAATCACTCATCCCCTTCCAAAATCGATCATAATCACTCACCTATTTTTTTTTTCGTTTATTATCTGTTAATCTTATTCTGGTCGAGCTTCGTTTGGTAGTGATGCAAAACTTAGCTTCAACTCCACAATTACAAAATATACGATTTTCCATCATTTTCACTATCTGAGAAAGAAAAATAAAATAAAACTGGAGCTTCAGATTTTAAAAAATGGAGGAAGATGGTATTTTAGAAGGAATGAATAAGAAGGCACTTAAATACAATCCATTTTGTACTGTTGGGTGTTGGGAAGGGGGATTTCACGCTCCTGTGCATCGTGTTCTTCACGTTGCTTGCTCATTAGGACCAACTGATGCCACATGGGCATGATCAATGATCAAATGTGTTTATTAGTTAGGGGAAAAATGAGTTCGAGTGTTCAAATGGAAGAATTGAAAGTTTATGTATTGACTTTTAAAATTCCATCAAGTTTAAGTGGCCAGAAAGCCATTTCGGTTAATTACAATATTGGTTAAGAATTAACAAGAAAGGGCTAAGTTGCTACCACCAAATACAAGTTTAAATTATTTTATCGAAGAGAAAAAGGATTTTATTTCTTTATATTTCTTTCTTGCAAAGATTTTGAAAAATGCAAAACTATTTTCTTTTCTACCAAACAATTTTCGTAAACAAGAAATGAGAGCAACCACATGAAGATGTGCTTAAACTTTGCTTAATTGAGTCGGTCTCGTTTACATATGAGAATCTTAGTAGTTCAACTGATTGACTATTAAATTGACTATTAAATTTTTCTTGTTGATAAGAGTTCAATTCTTCACTTTATAATTATTATTTTTTTTTTCTTCCGTGTTCCCTTTAGGCCATATCTATTTTTTTTTTTTTTTTTTTTTTTAAAAAAAAAAAACATTTTAGTCAATTTCACGGAGAATCAAATTGAAAGTTGCACGAGAATAGTTCTCACACTTGAACCTTGGGCGAGACACTCAGAAGAGGTAAAGATGTCTTAAGTAATTTTTGTAATTTGATTATCTCGTCTTAGNATTTTGTAATATTCTCAAAATTAGATGGCTTTTGTAAAACATGGCCAGCTGATTTAGGGTTTGCAAACAATACATAATCCGCTATATAAATGCATATCGTCACTTCGCACTAAGTCTTTTGGTCCATTCTTATCTTACCATTGTAGAGAAGCGGAAAAACTCCATCTACTTGAAAAGATGGTTCAGAGACTTACATATCGAAAGCGGCACAGCTATGCCACCAAATCCAATCAACATAGGGTTGTCAAAACTCCTGGTATTGCTTCATACCATAATCTAGTTTGTAAAAGTTTTTTCATTTGATTTCAATTTGCCTCAACACTGTGCTTGTTGTCTGTACAAGGCAGATCCAGTATTTTAATTCAGCGTGTAGAATTGTTATAAATATAGAGTACTTGTCATGAAATTATAAACACTGTCTATGAATTTTGAGCGGAAGTGAGTAGAGCGCCTAGTACTCTATACATACATTTAACAGTGTTACTTGTTTGTTATAGAGTGGGTTGAATGTGCTCAGTGAAATGTGATAACTGATGTAGCGTGATGTTTTCTTTTTTGGGAAAACTAGGAGGAAAGCTAATTTATCAGAGCACCAAGAAGAGAGCTAGCGGCCCAAAATGTCCAGTTACTGGGAAGAGAATCCAAGGGGTTAGTTTCATTATTCCCTTTATGGTTTTATTTGTGATTCGTTTCCAAGTTCCACCATGCTGTGATCCAGGTTTCAGTTTCTCCTGTCCGTGAGAATTGTGTTAGCCATGTCCTATTTGTATCTGTCAAATTGTGAACTCAGAATGAACGGTTTCAAGCCATATTGATGCGTTAAGGGAATGATTCATAGTAATGACGTGATACTAAATAAGCAAAAGTACTTGTTATGTGGCACCCCATGCTTTGGTTCAATGGCAAAGGTAGTACACACGGAGTGTGTGGTAGGCTCACATCAGTAGTTATAATTTGAATACTTATTGGTGAACCAAATCTGTTATACACATGGTGAAATAGAGAAAGGAGGGGGGGGGG